ACTATGTTGTGCATCTGAAACTGATATAACATTGTATGCCAACTATTCTTCTATAATAAAAAGTAATAAAAAATAAATAAATACCATTGCAAAAAAAGTAGGTACTTGATAAGCAATAAAAGAACAAAAAAAAATAAATAGGGAAATATACAGCAAAGGGAATTACAGCATGCTTGTATAATCAAATATTATGCTGCTATTTAAAATCATACTTAAATACTTGCAAGTGATATGGGAAAAACGCCTCTGTGTTCTGTGAAACATATACATATCTCAATTATGATGAAAAAAATTTGGCAGGAGATATTCAAAATGTTAAAGTTTTTTTCTTCAGGGTGGAATCAGAGGTATTTTTACTTTTTCCCTCCATTTTTAAATACTTAACCAAACTTTTGACAGTTAGCATATATTATTTTTATAATTAGAAAACAATGAATGGCATTTTGAAGTCTATTCCATTAATATTGAATAGATTGAAGGGAACTCCCCCCTTTCACCCCACGGTTGCTTGGAAACTTGGCTTGAGGTTGCCATTTCTGTCTCTAGGTACTTTGCAAAGTGGAACAAACAATGGGCAGTTTTATTATTACTTAAGGCAAGCTCGGCCTGGGGGAGTCTCTTCCAACAGTGGCCAATGTCAGACACTCACCCTTTTTCATTCTTGTACCTCCTGGTCTGGGGTGGGAGGGGGGATGTATTTCTCTACTTAGTAGACAAAAAGGACATTTATTAAACTATTTTTCCTGGGCCTTTCTTTTTTTCCATTTTGTGATATTAGTAATTTGAGACCCTTATATTGTGAAAGCCTAACACTAGGATCCCTAAGTTAGAAAGGACTTAAGAATCCTATTACCCATCTTATTCTACCAATTGTCACAATCCATATACAAAGCTCTTCATTCACACATTAAAAACTTTGGGTCCTTGAATTATCGTACTGGACCCAACCAGATTCTGTGAATCATTTGGGGCAACTGGAAATACCCACAGTTATCATTTTGGGGTGAGAGAGTGAATTACCTGACACTGGGCAGAACACATTTCTTCCTAAGTTGAGAGAACAATTTCAACCTTCTTCACTCCTTTGAAGGCTTCATAAATGGAGCTGTATTTAACACTGTAAGCGCCATTAAGTACGCTGAAGCAAACTTCACTGATTTATTCTACATAATTTGGTGAACTTGGCTTTTAAGGAATTCAGGGACTTTGTACCAAGTTTAGTTTTAAGTAGAAATAACAGTCCTTTGAACATGGTGACAACATGGACATATGCAGATATTTTAAAGAAATACATTGTTCAAAATCTATTTTAGCAATTCGCAGCGCTCTAGTGATAAAGACTAAATAATTTCTAAAAATTTTATTGTGAAGTATCTGCTGCTTCTTATCTTTTTCCTGCCTTTTAACCAAAGGTAAAATAAGATACACTGTTGATTTCTCAATATGAATTATCTGTATAATTTGGTTCTTCTGTGAATCTCTTGATCACAATCCCCTGAGAGCCCTTTTTATGATTGTCTTACCTCATAAAATTACAAAATTTGACAGCCAAGATTAAGTTTAAGCCCAGGCTGGGAATCAGAAAAGCCAGAAACTTATTCCTAAATTTCTAAGAACTCCTGGGTGGATTTCAGTGGGTGGGCCTGAGTGGGGGAGGCGGAGAGCAGAATGGCCAAGGGCCAAGCAGATGTGGGCTTGAATCCTGGCTCCGCCCCATAATACTTGTGTGATCTTGGACAAGTGACTTCACTTGCCTAAAACTCTCAGTCTTTCCTCAGATAAAATGATAATTCTAGATATTATCATAAAGTGTACTATGCACCTACAGGGTTCTACAAACATTATTTTAGTTTCTGCAATAATGGATTGATTCTCATTGTTCCCTATGGTGCTTTTTGTTTAATATTAAAAAGCAGGTTATTCTATGCCATATAGCTTTTCTCCCCCATGTAGGACTCAACCCTCCCTCGTCCCCCCAAATTACTCCCACCGCCAAAATTTAAAATGTGATAATAGGTTTTGTTAGTCTTGTTAGAATAATAAGATAATATTTGGGTTTCCTCCCTGACTGAGCCATAAAATTATAGGGAAATCTATACACAACTGAATGTTCATATATCAGGAGGCTCTGGATGAATCATTGCAGGCTTCTTCCTAGCCCCTCCCCCACATGCACTGACAGCTCTGAGATAACTTATGAATATGTAATTCTTTTACACAATCACATATGTGCTATTTATTCAAATTTCAGTGGAATCCTGTATATAGCTGGATTTCCATTTTAAAAGTTCTATCCACATTTTGTACAGAAACAGCAAACTGAGACGTTTATAACCATAAAAAAAACCTCATCTTTTCCTATCTTTTGTTCTTGACAAGTCAGAAACTTAAAAGTTAATGAGATGTTTTATTTTTTAATTTTGCATTTTGCATTTCTTGATCATCTCCAGGGCATGGGACCCAAGGGCTGCTTTGACCTTTGACCTCTGCACTCCTTTGTTACCCCTCTACTTTAAGATGAATAAATTATTGAAATATAAAGGATTGTTCACTCAAGGCACGGTGTAATACACCTGCCCACTCTGAAAGAATGGTAGAGATCTACACGTGTCCATCTGTCTAAAACACGATTAAAAACCCCTGTCAAGAGCAGAATATTTTCTGAAGTCTAAAGTAGACCTACTTTTGCAAATAGGTTCATTTTCCTCCTCTCTGTTGTGTTTTAAGGCAGTTGGGGTAAAATGCACTTCTATTCTTACCCACGTGTGACCAGGTCACTCTTCAACTCCTACTGTAATTCTTTTCCTTCAGTGTAAGGAAATGTAAGTTCTATCCCTCTACCCTTGTACTATTTTGCAAAACAATTATCATCTGATACCAGATGGCAAAAGAAGGTTCTGGAAACATCAATTCCTTCCCCACCCCTTCCCCCCTAACTCTGACAAACTATCTCTACCACCAGGCAGCCTATAACCTCATAAACACACCGGCACTTAAAGGATAAGGGCCTCAAACAACACTTGTTGATAAAACTTCTGTGCAAAGAGACAACTCTTCTAGTACTTTGCTTACGTCAGCTATGATAATTAGCAATGTTAAAAGGTTAGCAATGTCTCAAGGATGCGTTTGCATTATTAGACCTACCAGGATAAACCAAATGTATAAACCAAATGTTTCTTATGTCTAGCCTCCCTTTTGTGACCTCAGCAGATCCTTTCCCTTACACTAAAATCAAATCCTTAGTTATATCTGCCTGGTATTATATCAAGGCAAATGTGAGGCAATACTATGCTATGTTTCAGGTTGTTTAATTACGACAAAGAATACTCTCACCTTCACTAGTTATCCCATAAAATTTTCTTTCTCTTTCTCTCCCTCTCTCGCTCTCGCATACGCGCTCTCTCCCATACACACACACACACACACACACACACACACACACACTACAACAGTTCAGGGGTAAGGGATCAGGTGAGCAGCCCCGGGCTTTCTGACAACCTTTGGGGGTAGCTCCACGAAAATAAGCCTTAAAATAGTAAAAGGGGCAGGTGAACATACAGCACTTGACTCATCTAAAATGTGCAGGGCAGTGTAGTAAATTCAGATCCTAGAACCTTTCCATGGATTATAGGAAACACCCCAAGTCACCAGTGAATTAGGAAAGAAGGGAAGGTGGGCAGGAACGAGGCGGAGCAGCAGAGACGCCCTTGGGGGACCCTAGTGAGCAAAGTGGCAACAGAAAAAATATAATAGTTCACCAAAGGAAATTAGTTGGCTTACCAGACAAAGGTCTCTAGAAACTATACTATCTTGTGAACACTTCTTGGCAAGACAATTTGAAGTAAAAAGCAGCCTACAATGTGGGCTAAGCATTAGTGAGCTTATAGACTTACATCAATCAAAAGTTCTGAGTACAGAGAGACAAATCCAAGCAGATATTCATCAAACGGAGCAAACAAACCCCCTTCTGAAAGTGGGTTTTTAAAAACTGAAAGTGCACCAACATAGGTGCATTTTCTATACAAAAATTCTTTGAAGTCTCTCGACTTAAAGGCAAAGAAATAAGGTACTACAGTACCAGGAGTGAGGCTCATCACACGCCGGGGCTGGTTCCCACACCTGCCCGTCAAGGTGGCAGGCCACTGCCCCCCACTCCCATCCCCTTCCTGGCCTTCAAATGCAGCTGCATCCCGCTGGAGGCTCTGCGAAAACGGTTCCCACAGGCAAAGTGCAGAGTACCAGTGCCCCGCTGCTGGAGAGTCTGCAGCGCTGGGGATTTGCAATGACGCCACATGGAAAGAAATGGGGGAAAACATGAAAAAGAAACAGACGAGAAGGCAACAAACAAAAATGTGCTCCCCTTCTTTAGTGGACCAAAAGAAAAAAAAAAGAGAGAGAGAGAGAGAGAGACCCCAAACTAGAGATGGCCAACGGTTGGCTTATCAGGACGCATTTGGGCACCCGTAATTCATACCTGGGCAAAAAAAAAAAAAAGAAAATTAGAAGTACCTGGAAAATCAACTTGGACACATTCTAATACAAAATCTCCCCATCATCGCCATCACCATCACCACCAACACCGGATAAATAAAAACCAAGCACTTGAGCTATTAGCAACTACATTTTACTTACAGACCTGAGGTTTACATAATAACAAATTACATAATACTCCTGCTGTGCACTAAAAACCCTTCTATAGGTGAAGCTTTAAACCCTCTGGTCTTTTAACGTTTTCCAGAGAGAGCTGGAAAAGTCTGCTGAATAACTGGGGGGAGGGGGAAATGGAGTGCTGGAAAAGTCATCCTTGACAAGCTGCAAGCCCAACCAAATGTTCCAGGATAAAAAGGGACTGGGAGCAGGTGACTCCCCGCTGCTCTCATCCCCTGGCGCCCGGGTGTCTAAGGCCAAGGCAGAGCGAGCCGGGCGCGGGGCGCAGGGCGCGGGGTTCAGGGAGGAACTGCCCGGGCCGGGCGGGGGACGGGGGCGCGGCCGGGGCTTACCTGCTCCCCGAAGTCGATGGCTATGTTGGTGATGCCCAGGGGCACCAGGAACCGGATCAGGGGCCAGTAGTGCGTGAGCGCCGGGAATTTCACCATAGTCCCCTCCGTGGGCTGACCCCACACACATCTGCCGCCGCGAGGGGACTCAGCCGGGAGGCGCGGGGCGAGTGGGCCGAGCGGGGGCGCGGGCGGACCGCGGCCGGGTCCGGCGGGGCCTCGGGGCGGCGGCGGCTCCTCCTCGCGGCTGCGGCGCCCTCGCCAAGCGCGGCTGCTCTAGCAGGAGATCCGCAAGCTCAAGTCCATCCCTGCTGCCCTCCCACACAACAAAGATCTGCCGGGAAAAAAAAGAGGAGGGACAGCGGCGGCGGCGGCGGCGGCGGCGGCAGCAGTAGGTTCTGCTGACAGCGGCTCCATTATAAGCGCTCTGGGGCCCGGAAATAAATAAATAACCGCGCGCACGAGGCGCCGCCGCCGCCGCCGCCGCCGCCGCCGCTGTGCGGAGGAAATCAGGGGCGGGCGCTGAGGCGCGGACACGGCCGGCGGCCCCGGGGGCGGGCGGGCGGCGGGCTGGGGAGGGGCCGGGCAGGCCGGGCGGGCGGCGCCCTCCTTCCCTCCGCCGCCGCCTGCGCTCGGCGCGGCCGCGGGGGGGCGCTGCGCACGCTCAGGCCGCGGGGCCGCCTCCACCTCCGCCTCCGCCGCGCCGGGGGGCGCGCGGGGTGGGACTCGCTGCGGTGCCCGGGCCGGCCAGGGGCGGCGGCGCGAGCCGGCGGAGCGGCGGGGCTGGGGCGCCGCGGGAAGCTGAGGGGCGGGGGCACAGAGCCACTGGAGGCCCCGGGGACGCCCGGATTCAGCGACCGGGCCCTGTCGCCCGCCCCGCGGGGCCCGGGACTGGGGTCCCCTCGGAGTCCCGGGAGTGACCGGGGCGTGTGCGAGCCTGGCAGCCGGGGGACGTGAGCGCGGACGCGCGGGGAGAGATCGAGGCGCGCGGGGCTGCCAAGGAGCGGGAGCCCCTGGCTGTCCCTGGGAGAGCGACGCGCGAACCCCGTCCCCCGGTGGCCGCCTCAGACGGGCGGAGACGGGCCGAGGAGGCAGCTCCCCGGCTGGGGCTGGGGGCCTGCTTCGGGCCCACCGGGAAACTAGGGGCCGGGAGAGATGGAGTGACGCTCTGGGCGGGCGCAGAGACCGAGCAAAGGTCGCAGCGAAAGGGACATCACTCTCGCGGTGTCCCAGGGGAAGAGGCGCCTAGGGCCGCGGGGACCGCTCCCTGCACGCGCGCAGGCCGGGCCCGCAGTCCTCCCTCTGGAGCGCTCGGACCTGCCTCCAGCACAGCTTGCTAACAGTGAGCCCAGAGTCTCCTCAATGCACCGCTGTTGTAAAACAACAAACTCGAAAAGTCTGACTCTTGTAGATAAACAAGGGGAAAGAAGAAAGAAAACACTGTTTTTTATTATACCGTGCCCCAGTGATTTCAGGGTAAAGAATAGCTGTGCTAAGTGTTTTTACCTAAAACTTAAGACTAGCTTGACAGCAAAGCCAGCATCCATCTCCACCATAGCACTGGGACAGCAGGGTTGAGGCCCTGTGAGGGAAAAGTGCCTCATGCAGGCAGGGCTATTGTGGGAAATCTATGTCCCTTCTGCTGAATGTTGCCCTGAACCAAAACTGCTCTTAGAAAATAGTCGATTATTGGGGGGGGGCGGGGGAGCCTCCTGTGCAGGGTCGGCTTCGTGGGCGTGCGACCCACGTAGCCGGCGCAAGAGTCCCGGCATTTGGAAGGACCTGTATTTGGCTTATCCGACACTGTTGCCCTCTTGAAATTTCTAATTTTTGAAGGAGTGCCGTCCTGCTCATATGATTTTGCACTCCTCCGCCTTGCACATGATTCTTTTAAAGTGTAATTAGCATAATAATTAAAGTAATTTATTATTAAAGGCAATAAAGTAATTTTGCACCTAGGAATGAACCTGTTACCTCACATTTAGCTTTGTAAAGCTGGTGTTCATAGCGAGCTAGAGACCTCAACGTTCTGGTTTCAGGCATTTCACAATTTATTTGAAAAGATTAAATGTTTTCCATATTTTATGCCCTTTAAGAGACCTTTTAAAATTCCACACAGTCCATACAAGGCCTTGAGAAAGAAGAAGATAATTCACCCTGTAGCTCTGATGTAACCTCAAATGACATACCCTGTAATTAAAATGAAAATCTGGTAATTATTTATTGTGTTATATGGTGTCAAGTAATATTATTTAAAGGACTTCGCAGCAAAACAGGAAGTACTTGCGTACAGGACTCTCCTCCATAGCAAGTTCCTGAAAGGTGTGTTTTAATATAGTCAAATCTTATTTAATATATACGAAGAGAGCTTGTTATTTAAAGGAATTCTCTGGGAAGGAGTTCTCTTCTAAAGCAAATATCACCTTGGGGTTTATCCATTCTGTTACTCTAGGTTTCCGTGGGCTCGTTTTACTCAAAGCAATCTAATTACACTGACCTTTGTCTGGAATGTGGGGTTGATGAGGTCCTCGATCAATACTCATCAAGTCGGGTTTGCTTTGGCTGGTCTCTGGACAAGGACCCACCACATTGCTGCTGGTGCTGCTGCTGGCCAATGCAGACACACACCTTCTCTCTTAAGGAGAAATAGTGAGAAAGTTCCAGTGAATCAATGAAAGGCCACCATCCTTGTTTGAGTATTCTAAAAGTGTATTTTTTAAATGAGTGATTGAATAGTGTCATCTTTGATTAGGGCAAAGAGCACTTTTTAGATTTGAGAGGCCTCTGAATTTCAATCACACAGTGGCAATGTGGAAGTTAATGGGACATTTGATAATTTTTTTCTGTCGAAGACTCAAAATCAGAGAACTGATTTCAAGGAGAGTTTTTGGCCTCTCTTTTGCTTCCTCTTTTTAACTTAGTAGTTGTTTGAAAAGATAACTCCAGAAAAGCACGTGATGATAATGAATGGGGAGTTTTCTAAATTACACAGAACCCAAGAAGAGATCACAAAGTCATTTACGTTGGATTCAGAGTGTTATCTTTCAGAGGGTACAGCTTTATCTTCAATTTATAGAGTTTTTGATCAAAGGACATTGCAAGATTTACAGACTCTACACTCAAAAGTGTAAGGAAAAATATATATACATGGAAAATGCTGGAAGAAAATGTGCCCAACTATTAACAGTGTTTAGATACAGCTGCATAGTATTATTAATTTCCTTTTATACTTTTCTATATTTAACACAATGGGCATATAGCTGCTTATAAAAAGAAAAAGTTTTAAAAAATATTTACAAAATGTCATCAGAAGTTCAAGTGGGCATTAATATCAAAGCATGGAAAAAGTTACTCTTCGCAGAAATAATTTCATAAATGACCAGCCATATACCATTGTGTTGATGTTTAAAATTATTAACTCCAATTTTTGAAGAAGATAATTTAAAAAGAGAAACTAAAAGTTACATGTATGTCTTATTTACTTTTTTTCTGGAATTGATCTCAAATGACTATGTACAAGTTACCCCTATATCTGTTGCAAAGGACAGAATAAAAGGTCATGTTTAAAATTATCCAGTTCTATAACTCTATAACTCAGATTTACTTAATTTGAGGTGCCCATGGGCAGCAGATTGAATTGTAGCCATGGACAGGATCTGGAAGAAGGTGTCATAAAGATTTGTGTAAGACTAACTTTATAGAGTTATCTACACACATAATTATCCTCTATCATGTATTTAGTGTAACCAGTTTATTTAACAGATAGTTCTAGTGGAAAAGATTGAGTCCTGGATATTGGTGTCTAGTTTTGAAATGAGTAGGAAGCCCCCCCCCCAAATAGACTAGATATAAGTTCAACCCTTTATCATTCTACATCTGAGTCTCATACAATTTTACTCCATGGCCCATTGGGGATATGGTGTGGGGAAGCCTCTGATTTCTAGACAATTTAATTGTGTTCATATGAATATTGTTCTATTTGATGAAGTCATGATTTCTGCCCAGATCTAAGCTTCCGGAGAGCAGGAAGAAAAGTTGTCTCCTTCCTCCCAAGCTGCACGTTTTACTTTTGCAGTCTCTGTGTCATTCCAGCCCAAAGCCTCATTACAATTTACCCAGGCCAATGATCAAAGCCAGTGTTTGTACTCTCAACACATCCCAACCATAGGAGGTAGGAGGTGAATGACATGGGTAAATGGTCCAGAAATGGAACATTTGCTATAGATAGACTAGAAATAGCTAGTTATATTCTTCTAGGCGATACAGTTCTCACTTTTAATGACTTCTTTAATATTTTTAAAGGGACCACACAGATGCTTCCAAAATGTTGAACCACGAAAAGGAATGGGGAGAATTTCTAACATGCTGATATTGAGTGATCTGCAGAACATTTTGGTAAGTGAAAAAAAGCAAGGTGCCAAACTGTGAAACGGCATGCTATTTTTGGGAGGAGAGGGGTAAAATGGGAGAGAAATATGAATATGGTTGTGCATGCATATGTGTATTTGCTTATATTTGTGAGCAAGTCATACCGGAAGTATAGTCCAAAAGTTATTCAAATGCTTATCTATGGGGAAAGAAAGAGCACAGGGTCAAATAGGGATGGAAGAAGGAATTCTCTGAGTGTATTTTGTAATCTAATTTTGGCTTTGGAAACATTCATGTTTTAAATGTTGAAAACATAAAAATAAATCAGAAGAAATCAATTATGGGGAGCAGACATATACATGCCATGCATGCTTTTCTTCGTTTGTTTCCTCTTTTATTCTGAGGAAAGGATTTGAGACAGCTTTAATCACAGCACAGATATATGCCTTATCCATATATAATGCCTTTCTATGTTTTGTTTTCCTAAAAAAATTTTTTTTTCTATAATTGCTAGAGAATGAAACATTTGGAGAGCCTCTTGCCAGGTCAGTTATGTAACCTGAGGGCATTGTGTATTGATAACTATTAACTCACTTTGTGTCTGAAAAGTGGATAAAAAGATAAAAGTAAGTTTTGGGATGGATTCTGCTCATGCCACTCAAAAATACCACCACCACTAACACCTGACTTTCAGGATTCTGGAAGCAATGTACCTTATAGAGGTGATCATTTGCTGACTTGTATTTGGCTTATTATGGTGACACACAAAGGGTACAGGCTCTGCAAACCTTAGGTCAGGTAATTCTTAATGAATTGAATGGAATGGAGATGTAACCAAGATTAAAATATAGCAACTTTTTGTAACCTCTTTTCCTCTCTTTCTTCAACTTCTGTGCACTTATTTTTAAGTAATCTCTATGCCCAATGTGGAGCTCGAACTCACAACCCCAAGATCAAGAGTCGCATGCTGTACTGATTGAGCCAG